TCGCTGCGCGGTGACGTCAAGGGCCGACGCCGCCTCCGGATGCGACGACGTCACTTGGCGCGGAACCCTCCACGTGGGTTTCCAAGCGCTGCCGCGAAGGAATGATTGAAGCAGGAAAGCAACTTAGAATAAATCCTCCACATCCACCCACCCACCCCTCTATCTCTCTCTCTCTCATACAGGGCGAGAGAGATAAATATACTCTCACACACACACGCGCGCACGTGCGCGCGCCACTGCGTCATACACCGGCCCTAACGTGAACCTCTGTTCGCAAGATACGCGTCCTAGGACTTTATTATATTAATATATAAAGCATCCACGTTGTCAGAGCTCAATTTCTCGCGAATAGTAATATGTTTCCCGCTACGGGGAAATGTATATTTTTTTTTTCCATAGCTCGGCCCCGAACAGCTCCGTCTGCCACGGATCTCTGCTTTGTGTGGATTCTAAACAACTCCGCACGATGTTGAGTTTGCTGGATGGCTTGCGGGTGACCATTGGTCGAATCGCGCTCACACGGGACGACTACGGAGGTTAACGCGGGGTTGATCATAGAGCAAAGTCTACACGGGACGGCATCTCACGACGCTGCACAGAAAACTTGGGAACATTTTATTTGCCTTGTAGAGAAAGGCACGGGTCTCTATGAGTGTATGGGTCACTCAGAGTCTGTGGGTCTCTGTGGTGGTCTGTGTGAGCCCCTGATAATTCAATTACACAATATGAATTAAACGAGCGGCTTAATGAGACAATATCTCATACCGCATATTGATGGTGTACAGAGGCAATCATGCATCGGTCACTCTGTGAGTCAATGGGTATCTGTGCGAGTCTGTGGGTGTCCGTGCAAATCTTCGAATTTATCTCTGTGTCTATACCAGGTCCGTGTGTGAGACTATACAAACACATTGTGGGTTTATATATAGGGCTCTAAGTGTGACACCATTTCAAGGCGTTGCACAGACGTAGGGGGTAATGGGCAAGCTCGATTATAGAGGCAGTCTGTTAATAAGCAGAGACAGGAAATCGGCAGCACGGATGTGTTGTATATAGTCGGTTCACATGACCGTGCAGCCACTAGCGACCGCTACATTCACCACAATGTTATGTCATGCGAGATGAGAAAAAAAAGTTTGGCTGGCTGGCTGGGCGAAGGGACGGACGGACGGACTGCGACGTCCGGTGGACGTGCAAGTTTCGAGTATAAACAAATAAATAAAATGTCGATTCTCGCATCGAATCGCAGCCGCGACTTGCGACATCGCAGAATCACTCCACGTGCGCTCGCCGCCGAACGCGGCTGAAACCATCCCGAAAACCACCACCACCACCACCGCAGCAGCGGCGGCGGCGTCCGAGCCTCGGGAATTTCCTGGTGGTGCGCTCCCACTCGCGACTCGCAGCTGCTGGATAAGCATCTGCGCGACCAAAAAATAGAATCGCCACTGAGCAGGGCGTGCGTCGTTCACGCGACGCACGAGCGACTGCGTTGGAGCCCAATGAACCCGAACACGGGCGATCCAGAAGGGCGCCGAAAGGTGTGCGAAGCAGCTCACGCTTGGAAGTGACTTTGAGGAGCCCGGGGGATCACGCGCAGGAGGTTACGAGACTCGACGCCGACTGCGGGGAGATGCGACGGGCGCCTGGGCAGGACGCGCCACGGACAGAAGGGACGACCACGATGATGATGATGATGACGACGACGGTGAGGAATAATTACGCAGCCGTAGTCAAGGAATGGAACGCTTCCGAGGAGGAGGTTCCACCGGGAGGAGACGGAGCCATGAGCTGGGATCGTTTTGCAGGCACCAAGTGGGGTTTGTTGCATCGCCAGACCGTGAGGGATGATGACGAACCGGGGATGCCTTAATTGGGAAGTGGATCGAGCATGGACGCGAAAATTCACGATCTGCATCATGAGACCTCCCTTGCCAGTATCACAATATAAGAAGAGGTTTTACCCCTTCTGGCACTAGAACAGGAGGCGTTAAGATGTTAAAACACCAAACAGAAAACTTTTGCAAGGAATGTCTGCACGTGCTTGTGGCGAAAATGCAAACAAAACACATTCTCTGGTCTGCTCTCCCCCGGAGTGATCGTGTGTTTTTGTGTTAGTGATTGCCGTGAGAGCTCATACCTGTCAACCAGTGCCCTACCTTATCATGAAACCAATTCAGACCTTATTGGTCACCCCGTGCCCTTTTACATCCCAACGTTCATCCTACGAAGTCCCGTCACAAGGGAGAAACACAGACATAAAAAAACATTGATTTTATGCCCGTATTGAAACGCCTGTACCCCGTATGGACCTGAAAACTCAATTTCCCTGGACAAGAACACTGGGTAAACCGTTTGGGTTGACAGCTATGAAAGCTTCAGTCCTCACTCGATATTTTCCAGAACGCTGCTAGGCTGCCTTGGAGTATGGATTATCGGCATAAGGCACTACCACTAACTAGAGTACTGGCGTACAGGTCACGCCTAGCAACCGTAAAATCCGACGTCAGTATTCTCTACATTCTCGTAATCCCGTGAGCAGGGTTTGTAAAAATGACGGGGAAGAACTAAGAATGTCTCGGATGGATGTGGCTGCCTGGTGAGTAACGGTACGGTCGTGGCCGCAACGAAGCATCGCGTGCATGGGAGTCTCAGCGTGCCGGTTGTTGGTGCAACTTGGGGGCGAGAGGAACCCCAAAAGGTAGTCCAACACCGCTGAGTCAGTCGCGAAGATTCCCACCACATTTAGCCCACAGGAACAACACCAGAGAGAGATTCACCCCAGTGTATAGACTCTATGGGGAAGTTATGTTTGCGAGCCCCAATTAAGCATTGGCACGGATCACGAGGGAGTGGGTGGCCAGCAACCACGCTCGGACGCCTTAATTAAATATACTTTTTTAGATATATAAATGTTTTCTCCTACAACATGAGAGTGCAGCGCCACATTAAATACGCACTACGATGACAATAGTTTAAAGCGATTTGAAGCATGTGTTTTTTTTTTTGGGGGGGGGGTCTGACTTTTTGTGACGCCGTGTGACGAGGGGGGGTCAAAAATCGTCAAAAATCGCGTGACGTCATTTATGGACGGCCCCTTTATTTTTCTCCAACGATGTTGTTTAAAACGCCGCACCAGGTACTCATTTAAGGCTGAGTCTACCAGGGGGAAACACGATTGGTGCAGATATTCGCCACTATCGCTCGTGAGCGGTCATCGAACTCGGTTCGCCTGCTACGTAGCGCAATGCGCTAACCGCTGCACCACCGCTCCAAAGACACACACACACCCACGCGCGCGCGTGCTAAACCATTCATAACCCAAATAACATCACGCACACGTGCGACGCAACTGCTGTTACACGCAGGCTGATGTCGAGCACAAAGCTGCAAACGAGACGGAGCCAGACGAGAGGAGGACACGAACGAGGCGGGGAACGCGCCACACAAATAGAATCGATTATTATTTAATCCAGTCGGGACACCCCCCCCTCCCCCCCCCAATAGACGATTCGTCAAATCGCAAAATCGTCAGAGTGGCGATCGCTCTGCGCTGCGAACCTGGCAACGCCATTTCGAGTCCCGGTCACAACTTTCCGCTCTTCAGAAACACGCGCTGACTAGCGTGGTGAAGTATGGTCAATCAACCTCCCCCCACCAGCGTGGTGAAGTATGGTCAATCAACCTCCCCCCACCACCGTGGTGAAGTATGGTCAATCAACCTCCCCCCACCAGCGTGGTGAAGTATGGTCAATCAACCTCCCCCCACCAGCGTGGTGAAGTATGGTCAATCAACCTCCCCCCACCAGCGTGGTGAAGTATGGTCAATCAACCTCCCCCCCACCAGCGTGGTGAAGTATGGTCAATCAACCTCCCCCCACCAGCGTGGTGAAGTATGGTCAATCAACCCCCCTCCTCCTCCCACCCACAACCAAACTACAGCGTGATGAGGCCTTCATCCAGCAGTGGATTGATAAAGAGCTGTGCGTACTTTACTGTCAATGGGGAGACAAAGGCGGTCGTGCGTGGTGCTGGCCACCCACCCCCTGGTGTGCCGTTCCGGCCTTAATAGGTGCTCGCAAACACAACTTGCCACACAAAGGTCTGTTGAGGCTATAGGGGCGACCTTTGCCTTTGTACTGTGAGGGATTGGCTGCCCACAGCTCCGGGCTTCTCACGCCAACCCGCGATGTTCAAGAGCTGAATGTGTGTTCGCTGCCCGTGGTCCCATCACGATTCAGGCTCAACCCTAGCGGCTAAGCAGGACCAAACCTGGCCGGCACTTGCATAGACGACCACCACGCACCACGGAGTGCAACGGGATTCCTCGGTGGGGGGTGAGGGGTGGGGTAGAGCAAAGAGCGGTGCAGGAAAAGTCCATTGTAGTTCTGTACTTCCCCCACCCACATTCAACCAACCAGCCACCGACCAGCGTGGTGAAGTATGGTCCTACAACTCTCACTGTGAGGCGGGAGGGGGGGGAGACCCCCCCTCACTTCACGGGCGATGCACGTGTTCATCTTAAGGGTGCATCGAGCACCGTTTCGAAGCAAGGATTAAAAATAATGCGCGTCACCGCGAGCGAGAGAGAGAGAGAGGAAAAACCAGGCGCTCGAGGGAATCCCAAGTACGTCACGGTGTAGGATACCCCCGGCACAATACCATATATGGAGAAAAAGGGGAAGTGGCGGTGGCTTAAATAGAGAGCTCACACGCGACGAGGCAATCGCGGCCGAGGCGCGCGCACGCAACGAGGTCTGGCTCCGCCAGCCTCACTCGCCTCGACACAGCCAGCAGCCCGAGGCTTCCGCGAGACAGAGAGACGGAGAGAGACATCGCCCTCGAGGTGGACAACCGAGCGGTGGACGCGGACGCAGTTTACCCCCCCCCCCCCCCCCCACAGTCCTCCCGAGCTCGGAGGAAAAATCCGCCTTGTGCGATTTCGTTGTATCTGCTCCTTCTCGCGTTCGCACGGGGGGGGGGGGGGGGGGGGGGGATCAGCCGTGCGTGGGCAAGGCGGGGTTGGCGAGTGGTGGTTGTGGCTATAAGAGCCGACGCCGTGACCCGGGAGCTCCACACAAGATCATCATCGCGCACGCTGCCTCAGCTGCTGCTGCTACCTACGACCCACTGCTGCCACCTGACCCAGTGGACAAGGACAGATTCCCTCTCGTCTGCCACGGGGCCGAAGGCAGCCTCTGAAAGGGGCCCCACCCTCCCCCCCCCAACTGAGATGCTACAGGACTCCTCCTCCTCCTCCTACCTGGAACGGGAGAGCGGCTCTCGGGAGAGCCTCTCGTCAGCGCACGGCTCCCCTCCCTTCATGAGCTCCGATGCCGTATTCGCCGCCGCCGCTGCTGCTGCTGCTGCGTCTTGCCAGGTGAGGCTTGTGGGAGCCCTGGTGCCCACCGACTACACGGAGATGCCGGCTGTCGGATAACTCGCTAGCTAGGCGCTGTTGTTCATAGCGGCCGCAGATGATGATGACGGCGATGATGGTGGTGGCGATGGTACAGGACTGTACTATATATATAGCAGCGGGTAAGACGCGTGCAGCTTTTGGTTAAGGTGCAAAGTTGCTTAACGGGAACAGCGGCGGATGATCAAAGTGACGTTGACAATACTGTTACAGGACGAGACGCACGTGAAGCTGTGCTCGCTATTAGCTGGCCGCTGTTGTTGTTTAACAGCGACAGCTGCAGGCGATGTTGTTGGTGGTGAGGGCGATGATGAAATCGTCACACAAAGCGACATCCTGTGCGAGTAGCTTGGCAGGGGCGCTCATTCACACGTGAGACGGAGAAGCGGCGCAGAGTCTCAGGATGAATGGTCCAGGAGGGTCCTGCACTGGCAGGTTTGGCCAGTTTCCTAAATGATTGTGACAAGCGTTGTGCTTGAGGGCTCCGTGAGGGTTCCGTGTGCATCCGGAGTCTACGACAGCCAATCGAGAAGCGCTGCTGTGTATGACCGGACTCCACTCATCCTGCTACAGGCACAGGTGTAGCGAGCGTGGCTCTATTTATGCGAATATGTCCAAGAAGGACGGTGTGTTCGGTGTGTGCGATGTGTATTTGGTGTGTGTGCGGTGTGTAGTGTGCGGTGTGTTTGGTGTGGGGGTGTGTTTGTGCAGTGTGCGGTGTGTGTGTGTGCGGTGTGTGGTGTGTATTTGAAGGCGTTGCGCGTGACACGTGACACGTGTGTGCTGGCGGCGTGCAAAGTGAATCACTGCACGCGTTTTGCTGCTTGTGTCTGGGAAGTGTAATTGCTGTATATCTCAGTACACGCTGGGGTGGAGCGGTGGCGCAGTGGTCGGCGCACTGTGGCTATGAACTTGGCCCACCTGAGTTTGATTCTCGGGCAAGGAATCGTTGTTTATTACGTCTCTAAAACACAATCGGTAGGCTATGCGTTCAGAAACCGATATTTTCCTCGCCCTATATTTAAGGGGCTATAAATTCAGGACCGCTTTGTGGGCAGTCAAATTATATTTTGTTTCATGAACAGGCTGGCTCCTACCATGGGAATGTGGAATCTCCGCCACTCTACTGCTGGTTTGAAGGCGTCTCCATGATTTGGCGTGTTTATTGATCTCCGTTCATGCCGTTCATGATGATTTTGACTATACTTCACCATTCTCTGGTGAAGGAAGGGGGATGAGGTGGGGGGGCGTGCACATAACCGGTTAAGGGATCTTACGGCACTTGTTAGCCGTGGCCGGGAATCGAACTCGGGTCGCAGCCGGGTTCATAGCGCAGTGCCCTGGGCCCCTCTATAATTGTAAATCGAGAACGTCTCTCACAAGCGAGCGTGGTGGAATTTCCACATGCATATGGTAAGCGCCAGTCTGTCCCCAGGGTGAGCCTGGGAGTGGTGGTGCACGCCTGCGATCCGGCGCTTTGGGGGCAAAGGTTGGTGGATCACGTAGAGATGTCTGAAACTCCCAAACCCGTTGGGCTGAGGTGGCCATATAGCAAGTAGGTTGTGAATGGTGCAATACCCCTACAAGCGATTCTGACCATCACACTCGTGCAGAGCAAAACCAAACTGACGACGGTTAAATAAAGTGTCAGCCAAGGAATGCAACGCGTCTGAGAGGGCGTCCACCACGGAGATGGAACGACAAAAATCAGTGCATGCGTGGGCAGGTGCTAGGTGGGTTGATAATGGCATCATCGTCTGGTCGTGAGAGGTGGCGGCGGCGGCGGCTTGGAGACCTTCATGGTTACCAACGATGATGGATGATGATGATGATGAAAGGCTATAAGGCCACGGTAGGTAACATGAAGGAAGCTGCCGCCCGCGTGAGTTTGGGGTTGAGGCAGGGACGCTGTTTGCGTAAAAGTTACAGCGAGTGAGCGCGGCCTCTCAAAAGGCCAACCGGCGCTCCGGGAAGTCGAGCGCGTGGGAGGAGGCGAGTTCCGCCGCTCCACGTGGCCTTTCACTTCCCAAAAGTGACGCTTCGTAATGGGAAAAGGGTCTCCCGGCTCGGGAATGGATGCGTGGGGATTTCGGCGGTCTGCCGAGAGGCGGGACGGGTGATGTTTTGGGGGGCTTTCAAAACTCTCGAACGGGTTCGCGTCCGAGCGCCGACGCGTGGGCAGGCGCCGAGCTGGGAAGAGTGGGTGGCCGGGATTGGAAACCGAGAGGGATTGGATAGCGGGAGGGGGGGGCATTTTTTTATCTTTCTTCCAACCACGTTCTGCCACTGTCTGTGGACCTCTACGCGAGTCACGGGACTCCGTGCAACTCTGTGGGTCTCTGTGCGAGTGTATAATCACTCTGTGGCGAATATATTTAGTGTCGTGGCTGTCGAGTACTGCAGCGTGCTGGCGGCGCAACTGCACCAGGGCCCGACGGACCGGAGTTGACTCAGGCGCCTGGATACATAAAGGGAAGTTTGTGGGGGGGAGGTTGACAGGGGCCCTGTATTGTTCGATACGCCAGCGTGGGGTGGGGCCGAGGGGGTCGAGGAGTCCAGATACCGATCACGCCACGCCGCTGCGCAGGATATTCGATTCTGCTGATCGTGATATTTGAGGTCAGACTGTCGGGACCTGTGACGCGGCACGTGCTGGCCAACGTTCCTTATGTCTGCATTTAGCACGCCAATGTGGCAAATCAAATACGCCCGAACGCCCGGTGATGGGTGCACGGTTGTGTTTCGGGCAGCAATGGGACGATGGCATCTCTGTTAAACCAGCAGTGGAAATTCCACGTTCCAATGACGCTGTCAGATTATCCACGGAACAACCACTGCTGAATTAACGTTGATTAAAAAAAGCCAATCCTAGCACTGACCAATTCATTGGTCAATCGTGCACCGGAAAATTGCTTATTTAAACTTGTTTATAATCACGCAAAGTTTTACAAATATACAGCACGTTAAACTATAGCATCCCAGTGAACTCCGTTGAGTCTCAAGACTGCTTTAGAATATTTCTCCACCGACACTTCAACGTGTTGTGAACTTCATGCGAGGGAAAACTGGAACACAGCCTCTGGCCAAACCTTGGCAATTCCGTGTTTGTGAGCATACTCTCTGCACCGCGATTCCTGTGCCACTCCACAGCCCAGTGAGTGGGACCACTCCACGTCACACATCTGCTGACCATCTTGCACTCACGCCTTCTCAATCCACCACGACCAGCTCACGCTGAATGGGATCTCAGAAGCTTAGCAGGCTTGAGTTTGGTGAGCGCGTGTTATGGTGATCATCGGGGCTTGCCGCGTGTTGTAGGCGTGGGGCCAAGGTGGCAGCCAGGAGATGTGTCTGCTGAGTGTCGCCCCCTCGTATAATGCGTGGTGGAGGGTTTTCTCCAGGGTCTCTGGTCTCCTCCCACACGAAGTCAAACTCTCATGAATCGAGTTGAGCGAATGTTCCAATGTAGCAGCAACCTCAGGCACACGTGCCTTGAGACTCGGCGAGGCTTACCTGGGTGAGTCGCATCGAGCGCTGGAACGATCGGTCGATGAATCCACGAGAAAATGTAATCGACTCCCTCTTGCTTGTGGTCGATTCCTCTGGCCCCTCTAAAAGAAAGACACCCTGCCTCGAGAAGGCAGGAAACCCCCTTCAAAACACGCCCAGCGTGATAGCGGCTGATAACGCCGATGCCATCACCGAGTCCCCACCTGCCACTTCCCGTCCAGCGGCACACGTGGGGTAGAGGCGACTTTTTTTTCCCCCTCCACTCTATGCGCGTTATCCAATCGGTTGATTCGGCCATCACCGTCGCGATGATCGGTGGAGCCCAGACCCGCCTGACGTCCACCGCTCACAGGAGGAGTCGCTCCCCGCCCCCCCCGCCCCCCTGCCGTGCGCGTGCCACAGGCGTTCGTGTGCGACCCGCCGGGAGCTGGCCCTCTCTTCGTGCCGACGGTCACCGACGTCACCACCAGCCGGGAGCTGCAGTGGATGGTTCAGCCGACGGTCATCGCCTCGGGGCCCCGCAAGGCCCCGCACGACCCCCAGGCGCTCCCCGTGGCCTTCCCTCCCGGTTCCTGCTGCCCGGACTCGGAGCCCTACCCGCTGGGGGGGGGTCTCCACACATCCCCTCGCGTCCATCTCCCATCTCCATCAGCAGCAGCAGCACCGACACCACCAGCAGCAGCAGCAGCATGTGCGGCCGCATGGGAGCAACCGAGGCGGCAGGCGGAGGAGAGACGATGATGTGAGCATCAATTTCAGCCGGACAAGTCCGGAATGCTGTTCCGGGAATGATTTTGCCCACGCCACATCCATCTCGTCTTATTTTGTCCTGAACCTGTTCATATAATGCTAATATATATCGGGGACAATATATAGGATTGTTATGGATAGGAATATCTGGTACCCTGGTGGTAGTACCTTACACCAATAATCCCTATTCCAAGCCAGCCCAAGCAGCGTTAAAGAAAATAGCGAGTGAGGAATAAATCCTCGATGGCAATCATCGCATACACACGTCGCAAAGTGCGTCTGTTTTAACAACCCTTTGTCACTCCACTGCTGGATGAAGGAAGTTTAGCACACACAAGAGGCTTTCGCGACCAATATCATCCATAATACAGGTTTCTTGTTGGGCGAGATTGCTTACATATAATGTGTCGTCTGATGATGCGAGTTGTAATTACTGGCCAAACGTCTTACTCAAGATTGTAAATGTTGTGGATTTGCTCTCCAACACACCGGTGTGCTGCACTAGAAACGAATTGGGGTATTCAGTTTACGTGACAACCCTCACTAATTGGCTGTGACAGGTGGTGACGGGCTTAACGACACATTCATATTTACGCGATCTAACCCCCCCCCCCCCCCCCCCCCCAAAAATCCGTATTATGGAGGATCGGGAAGGCAGAACTCCACACGGAGGGGGAAAATGCCAGGAATACGTTTGAGTATATCTCATCTCCTGTACCTGCCATCCCCTTTCCTCCTCCGTCTTTCGCCCCCCCCCCCCCCCCACCCCCGTTCCTCCTCCTCCTCCTCCCTTCTCCCCGTAGCTGAATCCCGCGGACGCGGAGAAGCGTCGCGTGCGCAGGGAGCGGAACAAGCAGGCGGCCGCTCGCTGCCGGAACCGGCGCCAGGAGCTCACCGAGCGACTCCAGGCGGTGGGTGCAGCTCCAAGAGACCGAGAACCATCGCCCCCCCCCCCCCACCACCACCACCACTCATGTAGCCTTAGCAGATCTTTGAGGCAAGTGCTGTTAAGCGAGAGCAGCACCTGGGAAGGCCGAAGGGGGGTGGATGGCCCAACATCACGTCTCCCCTTAGCGGCAATGTTTAAACCTCGCACCAGGTACTCATTTGAGGTTAAGTCGACCTAGGGGAGGACCAGAACCGGTTCAGATAATCGTCACCGGCGTTGGTGGCCGTGAGAGGGAAACGAACTCGGGTCGCTGGATTCGTAGAGCAGCGTAGCGCTAACCGCTACGCTACCGCACACACACAGCTACCGTGCACACACACAGCTACCGCACACACACACACACAGCTACCGCGCACACACACAGCTACCGCGCACACACACAGCTACCGCGCACGCACACACAGCTACCGCGCACACACACAGCTACCGTGCACACACACAGCTACCGCACACACACACACACACAGCTACCGCACACACACACACACACAGCTACCGCGCACACACACACAGCTACCGCGCACACACACACACAGCTACCGCGCACACACACACAGCTATCGCGCCCACACACACACAGCTACCGCGCACACACACACACAGCTACCGCACACACACACACACACAGCTACCGCACACACATACACAGCTATCGCGCACACACAGCTACCGCATACACAGCGGGGTCCCAGCCGCCCCCCACAACTCAAGACCGAACCCTCTCCCGACCGTCCCCCGCTCAGCCTTCTCATCACAACAACGTTATCGGACAGCGGCTGCCGACTTTCCTGCAGGCCAGGTTCTGGCCCCTGTGCTAATAAAAGTATCATCTGGGCCCAACACCGGTGCCGTCCATCCACCCACCCGACGATCTCACAGGGAAGGAAATAAAGAGCGGGCTCGAAGGCTTGCGGGGTTATATCGAGGCGCGCGTACGCTACTCGCGCCCTCTCCCCCTCTCTCCCCAGATCCCCTTTCTTGAAAAATTAATACCCCGTTACGGATTGTAGCGCAATTACGTGGCCGACCTGCCGCGCTCTGTTCTCTCAAAACTCGCGGTTGTTGCCCCGTGCCGCGCTCTTTCATCCGCTCCTTGTCTCACCGCCCATTGTCCAGAGTGGGGGGGGGGGGGGGGGTGGCGATTCGCCAGCTCTGCCTCCCATCTTCAGCGACGTAGCCGCGGCACTATTTTCGCCGTGGGCTCTTCTCCCCACACCGCGGCGCCCGCTCGGTGCGACGACGGCCCCCGGTGCCCCACGTGTTTGTGGAGCTCGCTCCTGGGAAGTGTTTTAATTGGCGGGGTTTGCGGACGGGTGCACGGGGAGATGTTTGTGCCGGTGCCGGGCGATATGGGAGGCCCTCTCTCGGCGCAACTCGTCGGTGATGTGTTACAACAGTGTGATCTTCACGGTATGGATGGGGGGGGGGTGGGTGGGTGGGGGAGTTCGTAGTCAACGCGCTCCCACTTGTCGTCCACGTAACACATCGTCAGTCGCTGTCAAGCCCAAACACTCAGCGGAGGCGTCGGAGAAATGCGCCTCCAATCGGCTGAAGTCCCTCCCTGGCAGCTAACGAACCTGGACGCGGACCCGTCGGTCGCCATTCATTCCGCCACGCGCAAGGAATTTACGACAACGCGTTTCAATGTTTCTCAGGAGACGGACGAGCTGGAGGACGAGGGCGCGGGGCTCAAGTCGGAGATCGAGAGATTGAAGAAGGATAAGGAGCGACTCGAGTTCATCCTGGCCGCTCACCGCCCCGTCTGCAAGATGCCCAGCGAGGAGGAGAGCGAGCGTGAGGGAATGGCCGGTGCCTCCCCGTGCCTCTCGCACCTTCTGCCCAAGCGGGAGGAGCCGTCCTCTCTGGCCCCACCGCCACCGTCCAGAAGTTTCGCTCCGGCGGTCGGGGACTGTGCCATGCAGCCCGCGCCGGAAGTGAGCATCTCCGGCAGCTACTACTTCGACCTGGAGCCGCTGAGCAGCGCCGGAGCGCCGGCGTGCGCCCTCGCCTACACGGGCTACGCCGGGCAACTGGGCTACCCCGGCCACGAGGGACACGGCGGCTACGCGGGATATGCCAGCTACCCCGCGGCATCGGTGGCCGTGGGGGGCGGCGAGCGCGGATCGCAGGAGGAGGCGGGAGGCTGCGCCTCGTATGTCGGGAGCCTGCGCCACTTGAGCATGAGCAGCAGTGGCGGAGGCAGCGCCAGCGGCGGGGGGCAGGAGTCACCCGACTCACTTGGGTCCCCCACGCTGCTCGCGCTATGAGACCCCCCCCCCACCCCCCCTCACTGAGAGCGTAAAGTGGAGAAAAAATGAAAACGTGGGGAAGAGTTGAGGCGCAGTCGGTGGCGCTGCTGTCGGAGGTGCGGGCGGTACAACCGCACATGGACTCACGGGGCAGGAGGAGCCCAGGCACTGGGTTAACTGGATGGGAGTGGGGGAGAGCTGGACAGGGGAGGCCCCCGTTTCAATCGCTGGAACAGGGCCCATGCCAACCACACTCGGCCACTGTGGTGCTTGCATCAGGCTTAGGAGTGACGTGAATACTAATGGTTGGTTGGTGAGCATTAAGGGTGGCTCTAGTTTTGTCTTGGCTGGTGTGCTCTTAACAACGTACCCTGCCAAACTCTTTGCGGAGTCCGGCCTTTTCAATGTTTTGTTCGCCGCGTACGTTTGGTGCCCACGGCGCCGTGGAGAGCGGCACGCGTGAGGACGGTCACAGCCTCGTTCTCGCGATCGCGCAACACCGCGGTGACTCGTATTTATTTATTCCTCGTAGGTTATTTCTATTTATTTGTACGTTTAGTGTCAACGTTCGGCTCGTTTTAAAAACAAATGTTGAAAACAACATGAAACTAGTTTTACGAACTATTTATTTTGTTTAAAAAAAAAAAGCTTTTTGCACTGAGTCGTCGACTGAAGTATGCGGTGCGTGGAATCATTTTTTGAAATTGTTGGGAGTGGGGGACCGGTGGCCATGTCGGCACACATCGTGTCGCCGAGAGGGTCCGGAAAAAATATTCGGCGAGCGCACAACTTGTGGCCTACCGCCCCCCCCGCCGCCACCCCATCCCCTCTGGTTTCAAGAAGGTTTGTGAAAAAAAAAGTCCCTAAGTCACCTGTACTGCGACGCCATCGCAAACGGGGCGAGGCGGCTGCCCGAGGAGAGCAGCCGAGTCCAGGGACGGGGATGGGAAAACGCCAACGAAGGCAGCTCTTAATATTCGTGTGCATACAACTGTGAAACGCGGTTTATCTCATTGTAATAACGCAGTGGTGTCTTGATCAGCCCGCGTGCGACCAGACAATCAGTTGTGCCATACTTTAGGACCGAGGGCTTTATACGACTTTCGCCGGGATTGCAAACGAACGAATGGGCATAGTAGCTTGGCGGAGCACTTTTGCTCGTACCGTTAAGTAATTTTATTGAATTGTACAACGTTATTTTGCCGGCGTGGCGCCAACAAAGTGGCATTATTTTAACCGAGTCGACGAAGTCCTTGACACACAAAAAATCGTTTGGCGCAATGTGCTTTCCGGTACGTGGATACCCAAGTCACTATTGTGATGCGAACCTCACGTTGGCATCGTACGGCAACGGTTTGAACACGTGACCGCGCTTATGAGACGAACGCGAAGTGATCACCGCCAGTTTGCAGGCATTCCACTCATGTCATGTTTACAGATATTTTTTGTACATTTTGTGAGCAAACGTAGATCGTTAACCTCCTCAGCAGGCAGCCTGGAGTCTTGGTAATCACTCGCCGAGTGGCCACTGCCATTCCACTGACAACTACTACATAATAAAAGTGCTCTCCGTTTAACGGTGATTGTTTACCTTCAACAAAGTCAACTACAGTACATTATTTTCATACAACAGCGACACGTGATGCATTTTTTAAAGGTTATACTTTTACCTTTGGATATAATCGCCCCGACTTGTAAGTTTGCAATAATGCACTTGGGTCTCTAACGAGAAAATATACTTAGCTTCACAACATGCATACCTTAAAATATCCAGACATTCACATTTTATTGAAATGTGTGCCACTGGTAACCAAAAGTATCGTTTTTTTACGTCAGTGCCTGGGGTGGCCAGAAGGTGGTATCAAAACAACTCTTCATCATCATCGTAGATGATAAAATAATAAATAAAACCCCACACACCCGGGCATCATGCAGCTACTAAAGCCATCCTGGATTCAGAACACGTTGGGTATACACTTTGACGTTATCGTAGGGACGTGGAATAACAACATACTAGCACTTAAACACAGACGCTTGACATTACCCGATATCGGAATCGCAGCCAGAAATGAGTGCATCCCTTACAACTCAAGTGGCGCACGGACCCCAGGATAATTTTGTTCAGCAAAAGTAGGCCTACATTATTATGTGTGGCGGTATTGTTAGGGCGCAGCCGCTGACACCGCGCGAGCACGGGCACGGTCACCGACATGGTCACGATCGCTCACGTGATGTTGTAGCGCACAGCTGTTTACGCGTGGACGCAATCGCTCGGCGTGCTTCGCTCCTGCTTCCTGCGTCGGCGCTGTGCGACGAAAAATAAACACGGGCGCATTTATCGGATTCCGCGGCGCACGCGAAATGTCGTTGACTCGATGTGGATCGCGAATTTAGTTTTGAACAGTGAGGCCCATGTGGTGTGTGTGGCGAGACCGGGTGGTGTGTTTCCGGACGAGGCTGCAGTTGGCACCGAGTTGTACGCCGTGAGTTGAAGGAGCGTTCGGGCGAGGGCAGGGGTCGGGGCAAGCAAAAATAACAAGAGCAGCCATTCTTTTCGAATTTGCTAAAAAAAAAAATATTTCAAGAGCAGAAACGCAGGCGAATAACATCACTGAGAAGCGGTTCTTAAAGAGCCGCATGCGGCTCCGGATCCGCAGGTTGCCCACCCCTGGGCAAGGGAATTAAATCCGATTGGGCCAGAAGCCACTATCTGCCTCGATGTGTTTCCCTGCATGGGGATTGTTAGATCTTAGTTTGGAAAGCAAAGCTTCGTATCCCGATGTGTAGTTTACAAAAATAAAATATTCGCAGGTTCTGGTGAATTTCGAAAAGATATGGTAATTTGCATGGCGACCTTGTGTGAGTTACTGCATGCCTCTATTTTCTTAAAAAAATAAACCATTTTACAAACTGACGGAAATCGAGAGTTAATATATAAAACATTGGTATATTTTTGATGTAATATTTACGTACTGAAATATTTATTTTCATAAGAGTAGGCAGTGTGTGCGTGCGCGTATGTTTTACGACGTTTGTCAACGTTTTGTTTTCCATGAAAACGTAACGACGCCTAGGCGTTCAATGTTTGCCAATTTGTACACATTTATTTTTTTATACCATCGTTAGAGACTTAGTGTAAACAAAAAGGTACGGAATAAAATATTAAACCCAACAGTCCGTGTGTTATCTGATAAATACGAGTGCTGAATACGAAACCGATTTAAAGCCTGCGGACCTAATCACCTGGAATGCAGCACACAATCTCATCTCGGAAGATAAGCAGGTACGAGCCTGGAGAATGCTTGGATGAGTGACCACTGTTCACGCATTTGCCACACGTAACAAAAACATGCATCATAGTCTGTTGCCGGCCTACGTTAATGAATTATAGAGCGTAATCCATGCCCAATGCGTCTCAAAACACTTAGCAGAGAGCATGCAGCAAAAATCCAATGTACTGTGCTACCACGTCCTCACTCCCCACCTTCCCCAGTCCTCACTCGCCAATCCACTGCTGGATGAAGGCCATAGTAATAGTGCTCTAAATAGGCTCAAACAACGCCGACCTGCACGGCAGGGGGAGGTCCTCGTCCAGGAGTGGTTTGGTAAAAACATCTGTACAATTGTGCTCATTGGGATCACATTTTAAATTGAGTTACACCGCCACCTGCTGCCTGCTATGTTACAATACCCTCACTGTCCCTGGAGCGAAAGTTTTTGCCGGACTTGGCCGCACAAAGCCGGGTGGAGTGGCGTACAGAGCCTCAAGGGTCACACGGGTGACCTCCCGATCGAGGGCGACTCTCAGATATGTATTGGCCAGACCGAGGTCGAGCAGGGTCGGAGCGTTAGAACAGTGGTGACATTGTGGCTCTGGGCGACACTGTAAAACCCCGTAAAATCCTTGTCGAGGTTACCGATGATGTACTCGACCAAGCTCCGACCCAAATGAGAATCCCACCTCGACTTGTCCACGTGGCTTTAACTCCCAATGTCACACCTCGCGAGGAGTCGGAGAACATGGGCAAAGTTAGAGACATCATGACTGTTCCGAAGTGAGCTTGGATATGAGGTTACTCGAATTAACATCTCCGTATGGCTCTTTATTTCGAGCAATTGTGGGGAACGTCCGGCCCGCGGGCCGTATAAGGCCCACGAAATCATTTAGTCTGTTCCAGCCATCACATTAGGGGCGAGTTAATTGAACGTTTGACCAAATATAACGGGCTAATTTTTAAGTTGATAATTTTGTATGGCCCGCGAATGATGTTATAAATATCCAAATGGCCCTTGGCAGAAAAAAAGGTTCCCCATCCCTGATTTAGAGCAATAATTGTAAGTTTGCATCGAGGTGGTTGAGCCAGATGATTGTCAGGAGCAGCAGAGTGGAGCATCACGGCTGTGGTGTCTCCTTTGTATTTGTGAGACAAGCATCGAGTTGTTACAAGGTTTATGGGTGACCAGTCACACAAGATTTTGTAAGATTCCATTTGTGCATCAAGTAACTGCACCTACCTGTTCTTTTGGAGATGCGGTTTTAAGGTTGTGGCCCGTAAGCTGTTCGATCTTCTGCGTCGGATCTTTCACAAGGAGTTTGTGACTTGTGAACTCCATTTGGCTTTAAAAAAATGTTCAGGGTTGAAATACAGATTTGAAAGGTTAAACACACGGGTCCAAAATGGCTTGCGTGACTTCAAGCAATGGCGAGGGACATGTTTTAGATCCTGGTGGAAGGGGGGGGGGGGGGAACGTACATTTTCTACAATGAACTGGACTTCCTGGAGGACTTCTGCGTCGCGTCGAAAGGATTGGGCGAGCAATGTGCGACAACACGGGAAGCAACGGTGTCGGGGGTCAGCTTGAGGGCTCCAGTGATGCACCGCTTTGAAGCGCTCGGTTGGACATCAAGAAGTCAATTATAATTTGGTACGACTTGAGGCTTTGTGCGCCACAAAATAAAAGTTTCATTGTTTAAACATGTCGTTTGAGATTAAAACATAACTTGTTCTTTATATCACGTCAAGATGGAATGTGAAATGGCACCACACAAAATTTGGATAAGGTGATAATTCTTAAAGCTTTATTTGCGACTTAGATCAAGTATAGATTTTCATCTTTCAGAAATGCCTCTTTCAATAAAATGTACACAAATGTCAGCCACGTACAAAACAACTTGTTCACAAATTGCAGAAAAAACTGCAAGACACTCAATAATTTACACATATAAACAAACAAGTCCTTGAAAAGTTTTAGAATTATGCAAAGTACAAATTCTATACAATAAAGGATTTGCATATACCAAAGTGGTCAAATTCCCATGGGCAATTGCAGTGTATTTTGACCAGGTACCTTTCTTCCTTATGAACTGTAACCCCTGCTTGAATTTGATTGAATTTGGAGAAAAAGACACCCAAAATTAGATCTTGTTGAATGCAAAAATATGATCAATGCACAATGCCTATTAAAAACGGGACTTGAAATTTGGAATATTAATAAAATGTCACCTATTAAACGTTATCTTGCATTTATTTCCCATGGCTGTCTTGGTTGTAAATCAAACACACTTTTATACATCAATAAAATATAAGCATATGAAAATATTATCCTTTCAACGGTTAAAACTTTAAAGCCATCAAAATAATAATTTCCGGGGTAACATGTTATATTTAACGGTGACGTTGATGGCTCTTTAACGCAATAAATGAAATTACACCAGCAGCAAAATAATGATGTCAGTTATAAACACCTTCCTTGGTTTAGCTAACAATTACTAGTACAGTCATTTAAGAAAATCTAAAACACTGCTGGGACCCACTCAAAGCTTCACGCGGCTCCTGGAACGGCCAAAGGCGTTTCGCGTGTATCGTCGCAGGCCTGTGCGGGCCGTTGGCGTCTCCTCGGCACTCTGCAGTGGCTCTGTCTCCTGCAGCGCCCTCTTCCGCAGCGAGGACTTAGGGAATGCGGGCGTAACGGGTGGAGAGATCAAGTTCAGCTCGATCTCAGGAGGCACCCACTCTGTCTTCCTGTGGAAAGCACGAGGCTGTTAAGCTAGGTTGCTCAACATTCGACCCATCATATGCGGCACATGAAATAGCAGAACATCTTAAAATAAAGTTGTTGCATACTGAAATTTCCATTTTTCTATTTAAATTCCCACACTGTATTTGGTGCAAACTTCAAAAAACACTTTAGTACTGCCCAAATATTTTTTGGGGAACTTACAGTAAAATAAAATGTGGAACTGCATGAAGGAAGCAATTGCCGTGGCCATAGACCGGAAAGAGTGGAAACATTTAATCCGACCTCATCGACCGCCTGTTGACAACTGATAAGAGGTTAAACGAGGATGGGCATCCAAGCTGAGGGTAAAGGTTCTACTCACCAATTTAAAGAGCGTAAATCAGGCAGCGCAGTCTCCAGCATATCAGAGATTAACTGCTGTCGGTAGGACGACTAAAGTCGGACAGGATGTGCTCTGATCAGAGCTATTTTTCCATTCTAGATATTCTGGAAGAGTCAGTCTACGGAACAGAGTTCATTGCTCAACAGAGGACGGAGGGAGCATGTCATGGCTGCGAAAAGACTGATGAGTACCTTTTGGCTTTCTTGGCTTTCCTTGGAAGGCATTGCCGTACTGTTGCCTCTTGCACAGGAATGGGCTCATCATCCTCCGTGGGTGGCATCTTCATGTCCGCTATTTCTTCGGTGGCCACCTGAGGTAGGGAACATTTCCATAGCACATACGCAACGTACATTTGCACCTCTTGTAGTTTTGCAAGTCACACACACATGTCATGAAAGTCTCCCGGCAACCCATAAACACTCTTATCAACCATGAGACAAGGGCATGGAACAATTCATTAAAATATATATATAAAAAAAAAGATTCGCCAACACATGTAATGAGCAAATTCTATGCAAAATAATGATGTGATTTTTGGGAATGTTACAAAGATGATAAGCAAATATTACATTCATACTTATTTTGCGATTTAGACTGTAAACACAACAGAACATCATTCATTCTTGAATCAATTGTGAGCTCAAAGTGTCAAAAAAATACTAAACCGTGTAGAATAGGGGAATTATTAGATGCTTAATTACAAGCGCATGCTGCAACTATGTGCTTTCATAAGGCCTTATCACATACGTACATCCACATGCGGCTGTTTTTCAGGGGTCCGTAACTTATTGTATTGTCGCATCCGAGTATTTGGTGACGAAAAGCCGTAGTCCACCACGGCGGGCCTCTCGCTTTGTGACTTGTCGAGCAACGCGGCTGAAACAAAAAGAACAATCAGCCAACGATCGCAATACGGCAATCAAGTTATACATTGTCACACAACATATAAAAGATCACCTTGCTTTGTGGAACAATTCCTCCATAACACTTGGTGGAGGGGGTAAAAGGATTATAGGTGTTGTTGATTGCAGCCTCACCCTTCCCGATGCGTCTGGTGGATCGTCTGATGGGAGGCGAGAACTCGAAGGGCTCCCGGCTCACGGTGCCGGGATCCGCCGGCGTGTCGGCGACACCGAGGGACGCGTCCGCTGCCTTTGCGCTCTTGCGGCGGCGCCTTAGCGCGGCCGCCGTGGCTTCTGTCGTCCCCGGCTTCGGCACAGTCTCCCCGCCGTCTGCGCTCTCCGGGATGGGCGAAATGGCAGGCAAGGTGCGCCTGCTCTTGCTCGCCGAGCGGAGGGCCCGCTTCGACTCAAAGCGCGTGGCGCTGGCCGAGCCGAGGGGAGTTGCCGGTTGCACCTCGGGTTTGGTGGCATCATCCGCTAGGGTTTCGGCCAAGACCTCCGGCAGGGGCCTGAGATTTGAGCGTCTGCCGCGTCGCAGCGCCCGCGAGGGCGTCACCGGAGTTTCGGTGGTCGGGTGGACTTCGGCCGATTCGACCAGAGATGCCTGCAGGAGCCTCCGACTGCGACGCTTTCTGGGTACGTCGCTTGCAGCCAAATCGGGTACGGAATCTGTTTCGGAGGTTGTTGTCAACGTCAAAGCTTCCGGCTGCTCGGCGATAGCTGGCACGGTGTCGTACGCAGCCGTGCTGTCCACGTGACCCTCACGCTCGTTGGCAGTGGTCACGTTCCTGCCCTTGCGGCGAAGGCTAGTCCTTACACTTCCTTGATTATCACCAGATAGAGACGATTCTTCAGAA